ATGGCAGGCAACTTTTTAAACCCATTCCAAAGTGAAAGTGTGAGTATTCTGTAAAGCAACATCGTCCCTTTTTAAAAAAAAATAGTTTCTTTGGTTTGATCTCAGTAAAGGGGAAAGGAGCTCCATACAAATCCTCCAATTTGCCTTTAAGAATCAACCTGTTTAGAAAGGATATCCAGAATTATATGGATTTGAAATGTAGTGTAATGTTTATTTTATTCTGTTAATATTCAGGTGGCAAAGGCCTATATTTATCTATATATTTATTAATTTTATTTAAGTGGGGCTTTTTCCCATTTGGTCACAGTTAAAAGTCCAAATGAACCAGATTCCCCAGATTTGTCCCTGTTAAAGGTTTAAAAGACCCCCACATTTGGGAGGATTTGCTCCAGGGTTTAATCACATCAGGAATCTTTTGCATTTGCTGATCTAAAAGATGAAAACATAAAAACTTTTTTTTTTATATAAATCGGAGAATAAGCCTTATGATCCATGTTTTTTGGTTTTTCTTTTGTTTTATTTTTGACCCACTTGTCAACATGTCGCTGTTACCATGCCGACACTTTGTTCCAAAGAGGGGGTGGGGGGGATCCTGAATAGGGTGACATCTGTATATATATATATATACTGTATATTTACTGGGTTTTAAATAAGTTTATACGTCTGAATCTCGTTTTCCGCTGATCTAAAAGGAGATTTAGCCCCACAGGTGCTCTAAAGTGTCTGAAATCCAGCAAAATCTGCACAGTTTTAACATCTGGCTCGAACAAACGCAGTCGTCTGCCTAACTGAAGCACAGCAACACCTCGTGCACGCGCACGTGCACACACGCACACACACACACACGCACACGCATGCACACACACACACACACACACGCACACACGCATGCACAGAAACCTGCAGCCTGTTGCCTCTGACGCATGCAGAGTTGATTAACCGCGAATAACCGGACCTCTTTAACACTTTTTCTCCTCTGGCTGCTCGCTTGGGTGCGCTGGCATGAAAAAAAAAAAAAAAAAGAGTTTAGGCGTAATGTTTGCTTTGGTGACGGAGCGGTTGCCGTGGAAACGGCGTCGCATCCAAAACCATCGTGACTCTCTTAATCTACAAAAACATACGTAGAACAGCTCGTTTAATATAGGTCTGGCTTATCTTTTTTCTCCCGTCTCTCTTGTCTCTCTTTGCAGTATTCACCCAACATGACGATGAGTGTGTGATTTTTTTTTATCTTTTATTTTACTTTTTCATCCTCCCTTTATCTCAACCCCCCCACCCCACCCCCCCCCCCCCCCCCCACCCCCCCCCGTGCGTCTTGCATTGCCCTCCTCCTCCTCCTCCTCCCTCTCCTCTTTGTGGATGGTGTGTTGTGCCACACAGCCCCTGGGGATCCCC